ACGCCCCGAGTTGGACTCACAGGCATCACTGGGCCGTGTAGGCCCCCATCACTGACCCCCAACGGCCAGTGGCTGTCAATTCCCGGTGAAAACACACAGAAATATGTGAGGGTGTGGGGGCTGAGCACAGACCCGGGGCACAGAGCCCACAGGGGGAACCACAGAGAAGAGGGGGCGCCTGAGGGGAGAGGGGGCCGCGCGCCCCTTACCTCCCTGTTTGCCTAACGGACTCCGGAGGCCGCCATGCCAGGCCCCGCGTGCAGCCTGGGCGGCCGTTGGGGACCCGCCCTGCCGTTAGCGCATGCGCGCGCCTGTGGGCGCCAACCGCCCCAACGGACGCTGGGAGCAGGTGCAGGACAGAGTCCCGCCCCCAGTGGGCGTGCTCGTGCGCCCTGGCGCGAGGCACCCTGGGAAGGGCCCAGGCTGTCCCTGCAGGAGAGGAAGGAGTGGAGGGAGGGGCCCTGTGAGGCCTCCTGCAGGTCCTCCTCCCAGGAACCTCCCAGCGCGTGTGCAGGGAGCACTTGTGACTTTAAAGTTGCAAACGTGCAGTCCATGCACTTGGCTGCCCCCTCGGGACAGAGTTTGGGAGAGGCCGGCCTGAAGCACTGTCCTCGGAGGGGCCAGTGCCTTCATGCCCTTGGACTGCAGGTCCGTGGTTTCCAGAGAGAGTAGGTCCGTCCTCCCAGAAGTCCGGGCGTGCATTGCACAATTCCGGCCAAGAACTTTAGACGTGGACACACTCTAAGAGACGCCTGCCCTGACCCCGTTCCTCCTGTATTAATTCAGTACGTGGAGGTTTTCAATAAATGTTGCTTCACAGATGTTTCCTTTGCAAGACTGTTGTTTTAACATGGATCAAGACATGACTGTCTGGGCCAGTTTCCGTTGACATGGCAGGTAGCATGGGAACAAAGTCACCCTGCCCGCCCTCCTATTTTGTATTATATTGCAGAATTTCAGTTGGCAATAGAACATATATATAGTAGCAGAATCAATTTACTGACTTGAGTTTCTCATATTTTCCAAAGAAAATGAAATTATAGCATCATCTTTCCGGTCATTTGTAAGAGGGGAAGGAGGCAGGAGGAAGACTCCTCACTACATTTTCCATTTTGCACAATTTGTGAACTATGCAAAGGCATTACTTGTTTAAAACATTAAAATCACTCAAAAGGTAAACAGTTAGACAGTGAACAACATAAAACTCTGAGAAACAAAACGCAGTGATTTCTGGTCTTGCCCTGTAGGCTGTAGGGCCTTGCCCTGATGGACGGGAGCAAAGGGGATGGTTTGTAAGGCTGGGCCGACAGCATCTGCAGGGCTCCCAGCACTGGGCGGCACTTGGGGCCACAGGACTGCTTCCTAAGGAATGATGTGCACACAGCCACCGAGCATGCTGCCTCTGCTGGGTCAGTCCTAATTTCAAACACTGGGTTCCGTGTGGCCATAAGTTCCCATTATTTCTTCAGGCTGCATGTTCTGAATTTTGTTCAGAAAGTGTAGCCTGTGTTGAAGTCAACCAAGACCAGATAGGAAGCAGGTTGAGGGACCCAGAACTAGGGTGATGGATCAAGAACTGAAATAAAGGGCACATCAGGTGACTTTGGGTGCCTAGAACTTACCTTAGAGAGGGTCATTACTGCTAGTGTGTCTTTAAATTTGTGATTTTAAATTTGAAAGGAACTGCTGGTTCTCGCCTACCTATCAGAGCCCTCCATGGAATGCCCCCCCACCCCCACCCCATCCCATTGGTCCTCGGCCCCTCCCCCGCTGCAGAATGTCTGGAGCCCTACATTCTACAGTTTAAATCCAAACCTTCCCTCCACTGGATGCTGAGCAGCTGTTGGAGCAGGTCACTCTCTGGATTCTCGACTTGACTTTTCTCATTGTGGAGGCTACTAGGCAGCAGTGGTCGGTGAATGAGCCTGCGGGGATGGCTTCAGAAGGAGGTAAGACTATAGATTGGAGGGGGGATGTTTTAAACACTGAGATGTCCCTCAAAACTTGGGGTTAAACTGTGACACTGGGGAAACACGGTCTGACTGAAGTAGGGGAGGGAGAGAGCACTGGACCTCCAAGCACCTGTCACCCGGGGAGGCTGGGAGCCCATGGGAACCTGCGAGGGCACTGGCAGGAGGGCTCCTAGAGGTGGGTCAGGGTGGCTCAGGGAAATGCCTGGGTGTGGAGAAAGGGTGGCAGCAGGCACGTGGGTTCTTCCCAGAGGGGAGACAAGCCACTCCCACGTGTGTGGGGGGAGTAGTGGGCGATGTGGGGGTGGCACAGGGTGGTCACGGGAAAGCCTAGTCCTGTGTGCTGTCTTGGGGCACCTGGAGCTTGCCCCGCAGTATCTTTCTAAGGGACTTGACCTGAGTTCACTAGAGCTAATGGGGGCCATGGGAGGGTTTAGCCAGAAAGCTGTCCAGTGGGGCTGTCTGTGGCCAAGTCCACAATGAAATGTCCTCCCCGAGGGCTGGGCTGGAAGGTCCTCCAACTGCTGCAGCCCAGAGCTTCTCCCCTGCTTCTGGCCCAGAGCTCACTCCTCCTCAGCCCAGGGAGCTGCTTGTTGGCTTGGATTCCACAGGGGCAGGGCGGCCAGGTAACTTCCACCAAGAGAGGGCCTGCCTCCCTGAGCTGTCCCGAATCGTTCCCCCTGTGGCCACCCAGGACTTCAGACCGACTTCCTCTTGTCCTGTATCTCATGGCGCACACTCTGCCCTGCCCTTTACCTTTGAGATGAGGGGTTTGCTCATAGTCCACGTCCTTGCTTCAGGGACAGAAAATAGACGTGGAGCCTGGGTGGTGTTCCGTGGAACGTCTGTGAAGGCGGATTCCTTTTTAAAGGGGGAAGGGGAGTGCACAGGGGCAGGAAGACCATGGTCTGTGTCAGTAGTAAACATCCGAGGCCGCCTGTCCTGAGGAATTAGGGGCAGGCGGTGTGCAGCGTGCTCTCCTGGACTAGGTCTGCTCGACTTCCTCTGAGTGGAGATGTGTTCAGACAACTGTGTCCCACTGTCACCGGCTCACACCTGCTTCCTACTGGCCTTCACTTTCCACTGTTGGGAGCTGGAAGGTGAAGGACCTCACACAGTCTGCAGTCCCACCACCCATCTAACAGGACAGCAGCTATGGAAGTTTCTGGAAACCCCTACCGACAGCCCCACTTTGCCGAATTCCATGGCCCTTCTCTAACCCACTGCAGCCATTGCTGGCTGTGAAATGACAAGCTCCTGAGGGGCCATTAGTCTGAGCGCTGGGGCCGAGTGGCAGGACCTGGCCTGTGTTGAGTGTTCATTGTTGGTTCTGACACACATGTGCCTGCTGGTCAGTGCGTTCAAGGGTCAGGTCAGGCTCCTGTGCCTTCTTGTGGAGAGACATTACTCAAGTGTTTCTGTGTTGTTGCGCAAGCCCCGGACAGAAAGGGGGTGATTTATTGAGAAAAGGGAAGACTGAGGAACAGATGAGGCCCTGATATTTTAGACACGGCCTGTTCTCAGAGGCCCTTTGGGTGCCCAGAACTTACTTTAGAGAAGGTCACTACCAGAGTGGGTCTGCCTGGGGTCGTTGCCCCCAGAGCAGACTGCTGCCCAGGGCCATGCCCTGAGGCTGGCAGGGTCCGTGCCAGGGAATCCTTAGGGCAGCTCTCAGGGTCAGCACTGGCTGGGGCCGTTTCTTCTCGCAGACAGTGGTCAGGGAGCCTTGGCGATGGGGTGCAAGCTCTCCAGTGGAGTAATTCCCAACTGGAGGTCAGAGCGTGACAATGACCTGAGGACATCTGCCACCTCCGCAGTTTGTCCATCCCAATGGCTCTCCCCTGGGAGACTCACTGCTCTGACTCCCCAGTGGCTACAGGGGCCCAGAGCGCCTCAGTGCTGTTTGCTGGTTCTCCTCCTCCCCTCACCCTTTCCTTTGTCTCAACAGCATCTGCAGTGCTGGTAGCGGATGTGACCCTGAAGCCCGGTGCCTCCATGACTCCTTTCACGGCACAGCCCTTTCCCCTGCCCACTACTGGCCCCGCACACCGGCCACCTTGGGAGCAGCACCTGCTGCCCCTCAGGACCCCGTCATTCCCTCCTGGCCGCCCCCTGGTGCTGCCCGCTTTGCCCAGGACACCTCTGGTGGCAGGAGATGCTGGTCAAGGCCCCGTTGGGCCTGGGGCTTGTAACATCATGGACCAGGTCAGGTCAGAAGGGGGACGACCACAGCCCTCCCAGACTCAGACCATTGTCCTGACTCAGGCCCCCCTCAATGGGAGTGCTCCAGGGGCCATCTGTGGGGGTGCTGTGTGTCCTGCACCCCTCTTCTTGGAAGCCACTGCGGTGGAGACCATTATGCCCGCCTCGGCTTTTGGGGGCACCCAGGCCGGCGATGGAGGCTGGTGTCCCGGCCTTCCTCCTCAAGCTCCACCACCAGCTGCCCAGCTGGCCCCCATGGTCCCCCGAGTGGACCCTGGACCACGGCCACACGTGGCTTCCAGGGAGGGTGGCCTGGCCGCCTCCCAGTCCAAGGCCTCGCCGGATGACGCCTGTAACCCCAAGAGTGTGTATGAGGACTTCCGTCGTTGGCAGTGCTTCAAGGCCCTGGCCCGGGGGCACCTTCCCCAGAGTCCTGATGCGGGAGCTCTTTGCTGCTTCCTCATGTGAGTGCACTGGGCAGGGCAGGGGGCCCACCTGGAGCTTTCAGTCCTGCCGGGTGGGGGTGGGAACCTGGCACCACTGAGCTGGGGTGGGCAGGCGGGTGGAGGCCAGGCTGCAGCCATGACTGACCCTGAGGCATTACAGGCCAGCGCTCCGGTCCCTGTCCCTCCTGAGGCCCACCATGACGCTGGAGGAGGGAATAGGGCAGGCCATGCAGGAATGGCAGCGCAAGAGCAACTTTGATCGGAGGGTCTATTCTGAGATGGCAGAAAAGTGAGTCAGGGTCCTTGGTCCCCACAGCTGGGGGTGGGGGTGGGGAGCCTGCCTGTGGGGCAGAGTCCAGCTGTGAGGTCTCATCAGAGAGGAGGGTGGTGGGAGGTTGTCACTCAGCACGGGGTCCCCGCAGCCCAGAGGCCCTTCTCTTCTGGGGAAGCCTCTCCCTCAGCTTCAGAGCGTGGGTGCTTCTGTCCCACCTCCCGGGGAAGCTCCCCCCTCCTCTGACCCTGACCCGTCCTGGGCTGGACATGAAGGCTCAGGACAGGCTGGGGGAGGTGCCCGCCCCGTGGGCAGACTCCAGCCAGAGGGGCTGTGCAGGAATGTGCTCAGCCAGCCTCCTGCCTCCCCAGTGTCCGGGCCCTGACAGCCCCCAGGCCCTGGCTCTCCCATCCCCCCACCTGCTGCTGCCTTTCTGGGCTCCCGGGCCTCCTTCTCAGCACAGCTGTCCCCCCCTCACTCCCAGGTTCATGGAGTTTGAGGCAGAGGAGCAGATGCAGTTCAGAAGTTGCAGTTGA